TTTGTCCTTTGTCCGCCCCGGAGCTCCTTGGCCGCGCAGCCGAAACCCCGGAGCCCTGGAGGCCGCACCTGTGGCCACCCCGGGCTGGGATTTCGGGCGGGGCCTGCAGAGCTGCTTAGAAGGTGGAGGCCCCAGCCCCCAGCCCCGTGCCAGCCAGCCCAAGCTGAAAGTAAGTGGGTGCGCGTTCCCTGGGTGAAAGGTAGGGTCGGGGCCTCCAGCTCCTTTTTTTCTGCCTCATCTGTCACCGTGGTCTCTGTGACTCCAGACTGGGAGCTAAAGGGAAATTGACCCCAGAAAGAAGGTGGGTATCTATGTCGCTGCTGTCAGCCCCATGCACACACCCTCTCGCGTTTCATTACCACGTATCTCAGAAGTGAGGATGTGAAGGATGGGAGAGACAGTCTGTGTGTAGACGCCGTGTGTCCTGGGAGCCTTGAGGCACCTCTTGACGCACCCCTTTCCCTCTCCGTAAAGAGGGAGTTTGGATTAAAAGAAGGAAATGGGGCCCCTTGGGCCTAGCTCTTCATACCTCCTGTGCTTCCCTCCTGTGAAGGTGGCCCCTCATAGCAGTCATACCTGCCCACAGTTATTGGTGCTTTTCCTTTGTTGACCTCAGGGAGGCCCGCTAGGTCTGAGGGGCAGGCAGGAAGGCTTCCTGGAGGAAGTCGTAGGGTGTAGAATGGCAGGAGTCAGGAAAAGTGCTCTAGGCTGGGAAACCCTCATGTGCAAAGGCCTGCAGGAAGACAGCAGCCAGTTTCCTGATGAGTCCTTATATGTGGAGGAGTTAGGTCTTGTCATGGGAGCACTAGGGAGCCATGGGAGGTATTTAAGCTCAGGAGGTTGTGATTTGTGACTTTCAAAGCTCCTTCAGGCTGTGTAGGAAGTGGATGGCCAGAGTGCCCTGGAGAGAAAGGGTGTTGGGGGCTGAGGAAGGAGAAGCTCATGGCAGTGTTGAATTGGGGGTGGCAGAGTGGAGTGAGGGGGAGCCTTGGTTCCAGGATCACTCAGATGGGGACGCAGCAGTGACCACCAACATGAGGGAGGTCATGACCACCCCTGGTCAGAATCCCTGAAGGAAAGGGGCTCTGTGCGTGGCTTCCTGTCCCAGGCCTGATTCACAGCTGCAACCACAACTGAGCCTCATATGAGTGATTAGCACTGGGGTGAAGGCTGTGGTTGCCAGGCTGCCAGCACCCCCACCTGGCCACTCTGCCCTGTGGCCCAGCCACCAAAGCTCCCATCAGCTTTTTGAGATGGGGTGTCGGGGGGGTTGTCCTCATTCCTGAGATGGAGAGCAGGAGGTTCTTGGCACTTCTGGCACTGTGTGGACCTCTGAGCACCTCTGGGGACAGAGTCTGGGTTTCAGTCATGCCTAATCCACTTGAAGAGTGGGCCTGTTCCCCCAAGCCTCAGTTTTCCCCTTGGAAACAGCCTAATGATGGTCCCCAAGACATAAGGACTGTGACATGGAAAAAGGCAGAGGACAAGCAGATTGGGATGCCTGGACCCCGTCCCCTACTCCTCCAGTCTCTGATGCACTCTGTGAAATATGAGGGTGGGTAGAGGCTTCCGGGGTAAGAGAGGAGAAGGAAGGAATGAGGTAAATGAATGAGTGTGGCTGGGCAAGAGGAGCAAGTGCCCCAGGGGGCGGGGCTGATTTGGGGAGGGGGCTGTCAGGGAGGAGACCGCAGAGGAAAGAGCGGCTGCCATTGGTGCGCCTCAGACAAAGGCGGAGGGAGGGGGTGAGCGCGGATGGGAAAGGAACAAAGAGGAAGGGGCTCACTGGGGGGAGCAGGATGGCTCTGGAGTGTAGGCCAAGCTGAGGGAGGAGGTGAGGACCAGCTGGACAGCGAGGAGGCTGGACCCCAGTGAGAAAATACAGCCAGAGGCAGTGGCAGGGACGAGGGGGTGGGGCAGGGACACCAGGATAGCCAGGACTAGCCAAGGACTGACCAGAGGGTGCTGCATTCAGCCACTGAGGGAGGAGGGCACTGCGCTTCAGGGGGCCCAGGTCCTATCCCCCTGGGGTGTTCGTGGTGGGCTCTGGTCTGTCTGTTGCGTTGTCTGGCTACAAGGGCTGCCGGTCATCTGCCCATGGCTTTCGTGTAGTTTTCACAGTGTTCTTATTGTCATTACGTGGGCTAGCTGGTCATGTCCACCTTGCCTTTCTGGCCATCAGCCTCTGGCGAAGGTCTTTGTCTGTCTGTGGCTTTCTGTGCCTGTGAATATGACTATGAGCCTGGTGGCCTCAGCTGGCCAGTTCATCCATGATTTAGACTCTAAGGGTCTCAGATGTCCGTCTGTCTGTCTACCTGGATGTCATACAGGTGTCGAGGAGGCCAGCAGTGACAGACAGGCCTGTCTAACATGTAGTTAGGCATTCTGTGTCTGAACATGGGTCTAACGGTCCTGCCCCTTTCTCTTGGATTAGCACTATGCATGTCTGTCACTCCATCTGTCTTGCTGTCTGCTTCCCGATTCCCTGGGCAATGCCTGGGATGGCTCATGCTGTACACTACTGCCTGGAATGCAGCCCTGGCATGGAGGGGGCACTGGGGCTTAGGTCTGGGCTGCCTACAGGGCATTAGCTGCTCCTTCCCAGACCCCGGACTAAAGGCTCTGACCCTGTCACCCCAGGCGCTGCACGAGCTGAAGATGACGAGCTCAGTGGCCTCCTATGAGCAGCTGGTGCGCCAGGTGGAGGCCTTAAAGGCTGAGAACAGTCACTTAAGGCAGGAGCTTCAGGACAACTCGAGCCACCTGTCCAAGCTGGAGACCGAGACTTCAGGGATGAAGGTGGGGGGTGCCGTTGATGGGACATGCAAGATGGGTTACAGGGGACCCTGAACCCCAGAGGAGGGTAGGAAGGGCCCCAGGCATCCAGTGTGTGTGTGTGGGGTGACCCGCAGCGGTGGCATTGCCCATGGCTGTGTCCTTCCTGGTCTGCAGGAGGTCCTGAAGCACCTGCAGGGCAAGCTGGAGCAGGAGGCCCGCATGCTGGTGTCATCGGGGCAGACAGAGGTGCTGGAGCAACTGAAGGGTGAGAAGCCACCCCCGAGGGAGCTGGGAGCAGAAGGACAGGCAGGGGCGCTGACCTTCACTCTCCCACCCACCCAGCTCTCCAGATGGACATCACCAGCTTGTACAACCTCAAGTTCCAGCCACCTGCCCTGGGGCCTGAACCTACCACCCGAACACCCGAGGGAAGCCCAGTCCATGGCTCTGGGCCCACCAAGGACAGCTTTGGGGAGTTGAGCCGGGCCACCATCCGGCTTCTGGAGGAACTGGACCGGGAACGGTGAGAGGGCATGAGAATCAGACCCCCCGTGGAGGCTGCCCTTAGCTCTGCCCCGGCCAGAGTGCCTCCCGCAGTCCCCGCCCAATGATTGGACCACTCGCGGTGGGCCCGCCCACTGAACCGGCCACGCCCTCTTCAGTGTAGTTCCTCTGCCCCTCTTCAGGCTGGGCTGACTTCAGCTGGAGGACAAGGAGGGTGAGGGGCATTCCTGGCAGGGGCAAAGGCTCCTGGGAGATGTCCCCAGGGGTCCCCGGCAGGCGGGCGTCGCTAGGGTCAGGGCTATGTCCGATGCCAGGGCTCAGAATCCTCCCTAGCGCCAGAGAAGCTCAAGGCAGCCTTTGTAAAGAGAGAACCACAAACCAGGAAATCTGGGCCAGCAGATTTCTGGCCAGAGGCAAGAGGCAGGGTCTAGGACCAGCTTCAGCTTGGCTAGGTCCTGTGAGGTTAGAGAGAATTCAAGAGCAGCCTGGAGTTAAGGCTCTGTTCTGCTTGCTATGTGACCTGGGTCAGGTCCCTTAACCGCTCCCGGCCTCAGACTTCTGTACTGTAAAACCGGAATATTGCTGGATGTGGCTGGCATACCTGTAGCCCCAGCACTTTGGGAAAGAGACTGAGGCAGGAGGATCATGAGTTCCAGCCTGACTTGGACAGCTTAGCAATTTAGTCAGACTCTATCAAAAAACAAGTTTTTGGGCCAGAGATTTAGCTCAGTGGTTCCGGCACCTGCCTCGCAAGCACAAGGACCTGAGTTCGATCCCCGGTATCAAAAACAACAACAACAACAAACAAACAAGTTTTTAAAGGCTGGGGCTGTATGTAGCTCAATGCAAAGGTCCCAGGTTCAATCCCCAGTACGGGGTGGGGGACAGGACTAGAGTTGTGAAAGGAAGGGGCACCCTGAGCCTACTCTTTATAAATCCGATAGAGATTAGCAATTTATTGGAGAGATATTAGTCTTTCTCCAAGGACCAGAGTTTACAAAAGCATTGCCTTCTTTCCTTTCATTTAATTTTCTGCGTCCCTCCCAGTGTATTCCATCCCTCATCCCTACCGCAGTTTTGGGACACATTACCACGCTGTTAATCTTGGTTCACAGTAAACACCTGACAGGTAATTATACGACCGAAATAAACAGCACACATGTAGCGAACCCCCTCTGCCAGGCAGTCCCCGCTAGCCTGTCCCTGCAGGTGCTTCCTGTTGAGCGAGATTGAGAAGGAGGAGAAGGAGAAGCTCTGGTACTACTCTCAGCTGCAGGGCCTGTCCAAGCGCCTGGACGAACTGCCGCACGTGGAGACGGTGAGCGAGGGACTGCCAGTCCTGCCAAGGACAGGGGAGTGGCAGGGAGGACCTGGGCGCCCCTCACCGCAGCCCGCCCGCCCTTCCCAGCAGTTCTCCATGCAGATGGACCTGATTCGGCAGCAGCTGGAGTTCGAGGCCCAGCACATCCGCTCGCTGATGGAGGAGCGCTTTGGGACCTCAGACGAGATGGTGCAGCGGGCACAGGTGCAGCGCTGGGCGTGGCCATCTGCCGGTGGACGAATCAGCGGAGATCGATGGGGCGGGGCCTCATGCTGAGAGAAAATTTCCGGGCAGAGATTTCTGAGGGCTGGGTCTGGCTCAGGAGGTGCAGTCCGACCCCAGTTTCTTACCAGGAAAAAGGCGATTTAGAGCCAGAGGTTGGGGGGGGGTCACAACAGAAACAAGGTGGAGTCGGGGATTTAGCTCTGTGGTGCCGCCATCTGTCTTGCAAGCGCAAAGTCCGGAGTTCGATTTCTGGTACCAAAAATAAAGAATAGTTGAAAGAAGGTGGAGTCAGAGTTAGGGGCGTGGCACATCAGGGAGAAGGCGGAGTCAAAGCCTGGGTGGGGGCGGGCCCACCACCCAGGTCTCAGCAAGAGTTTCTCCCGCACAGATCCGAGCTTCGCGACTGGAGCAAATTGACAAGGAACTGCTGGAGGCACAGGACCGGGTGCAGCAGACTGAGCCACAGGTAAGAGAGGGGCTGTGCGAGGGGTCCGGGGGTGGTGACAAGCTCCAGGCAACTCGGGGACCTCCACCAAAGGGTCCAGGAATCGGTGCGCAGGCCCACCCACTTAGAGGGGTGCAGTCGGCGTCCATATGATGCGATACTCCCAGACTCAGGCTTTTCCTGCAGGCCCTACTGGCAGTGAAATCAGTGCCGGTGGAGGAGGACCCCGAGGCGGAGATCCCCACGCATCCGGAGGATGGTACCCCGCAGCCAGGCAACAGCAAGGTGAGGGCAGCCAGTGGGGTTGAGGTGAGGGGGCCTAGTGTCGCTGCCCGATGTGAAATGCTCTTCACACCTGCCTGTTTCTTTCTTAACCCTCCCCTACCTCCTTCCTTCCATCCTGGTACTAGGAATTGAATTCAATGCCTTTGCACTGAGCTACACATCCAGCGCCGAATTTATTCATTTATTTTGCACATTTATTCACTTATAATTGCTTGGGCTAGGCTCAAACTTGTGCTCCTCCTGCCACAGCCTCCCAGAGGGCTAGGATTCCAGGAGTGTGCCCTCACGCTGGGGTCCCGTGCCTTCCCTGAATCTTTCCACCTCTCCCACCCCCATCGTGTAGCGGAGCTGCCCAGGAGTGGAGGACACTCCTAGCTTGGGGGCAGTGAGGGGATGGGATTCCCACTCCAACCCTCCTACACTTCTCTGACCCCGTAGGTGGAGGTGGTCTTCTGGCTGCTGTCCATGCTGGCGACACGTGACCAAGAGGACACGGCCCGCACGCTGCTGGCCATGTCCAGTTCTCCTGAGAGCTGCGTAGCCATGCGCCGCTCGGGCTGCCTGCCACTGCTGCTACAGATCCTCCACGGTGCCGAGGCGGGGGCAGGGGGTCGCACGGGGAACCCGGGAGCCCCCGGAGCCAAGGACGCACGCATGCGGGCCAATGCCGCACTGCACAACATCGTCTTCTCACAGCCTGACCAGGGCCTGGCTCGCAAGGAGATGCGCGTCCTGCATGTGCTGGAGCAGATCCGCGCCTACTGTGAGACCTGCTGGGACTGGTTGCAGGCTCGGGAGAATGGGCCGGAGGCTGGTGGCACCGGCAGTGGTGAGTGTGGGAGCCGAGCCTCCGCAATGGTCGGCGCGCCACACAGTGAGTCAGTAACAACCTGGTCAGGTCTCCTCTGTGTGGTGTTGTCTGAAGCCTTCTGGGGGCCAGATACCAGTGTGACAAAGAAATACCCAGGAGCTGCCACCTGTATTTATACCTGGAAGTTCAGGAAATTTTTTTTGTTTTGTTTTGTTTTTGGTTTTGGCACTGTCAATCAAATTCAAGACCTTGTGCTTGAGAGGCAGGTGGTGAACCACTGAGCTAAATCCCAGCCCTTTGGGCCCTTTATTTTTTTATTTTGTTTTGTTTTTTTGAGACAGGGTCTCACTATGTAGTTGAGACTGACCTGGAACTCACTATGTAGCCCAGGCTGGTCTCGAACTCACAGCGATCCTCCCTGCCTCAGCCTCCCGAGTGCTGGGATTACAGGGATGTGTCACCACTTCTGGCTTGTTTTGTTTTTTGAGGCAGGATCTCATCCTGTGGTTCAGGCTGACCTTGAACTCACTATGTAACCCAGGCTGGCCTCGAACTACCAGTTCTGGGATCACAGGTGTGTACCACTGTGCCTGGCCTGCAAAGTTAATACAGGGCAAAGGCTGAAAAGTGTTGTACACAGGCCTGCTGAGCACCAGCCTCTTTGTTGTTGTTGTTGTTGTTGTTGTTTTGGGGATTGAACTCAGGACCTCACACCTGCAAAGTAGGCTTAGTTCCACAGAGCTAAATCCCTGGACCTAACCTCTTTCTTGCATTGAGGAGCCATGCGGAAAAGGAACCACTGGTTTGGGGATACTCAGGACTCAGGGCTTGCATAGTTCATGGGATCCTTGCAGGTCTGTGGAGTGGACCCTGGCATGTGGGGTCACCCTGGCATAGTTCCCCAGGAGGGAGATTCTGATCTGGTCCCCTCTTCCACAGCCCCTGTCCCCATTGAGCCTCAGATCTGCCAGGCCACCTGTGCTGTGATGAAGCTGTCCTTTGATGAAGAATACCGCCGGGCCATGAACGAGCTCGGTGAGTGTCCTTTGCCTCCCCCAGGGAGCCCTTTCAGCCTTGCCATGGCCTCTGACAGTGACAGTGTGGGGCAGAGCCTTACGTATCTGTTCTTGTTCACTGAAGGTTGGAGAATGAGGCCCAGAGAGGGACAGAGCCTCCCTGGGTCACACAGTACCTATTGTGGCCTTCTGTCCCCATGAGTTGCACAGGACCTCTCAGCCCTCACCTTTTAGCTTCAGGTCTCTGGGGCTCAGAGCTGGCTTTCAGCAGGAATTGTCCTGTGGCTCTATGTAAAAGATCCAATCCTGGGTGCAGAAGGAAAGCTGTCACCAGTTGGCCTTGTGAAGTGATAGCCTTGGGGACATTCTGATGTCTTTTCTGTGAATACTGAAGTACTTGGGCTGGGCGTGTAATTCAGTGGTGAGCACTGACCTCGCCTGTATGAAGCCTGGGATTCCTTCGCAAGCATTGCCAAAAAAAAAAAAGAATTGAAAAAGAAACAAACTGGAGCAGGTTTTTGGAGAGGTGTTTGGCAGCATTAGATACACGATGAGTATGTACACCCTTTGATGTCATCTCTTCCATTTACAAAGTGCAGAAAACCAAAGGCAACTACTAATTCAAATAAAATTAGAAAGCTAGAAATAACATGAGACTTCAGTGGTAGGGGATCAGCTAAACAGTGACATATGAGGCGAGCTTTTTCATTCTCGATAAGCCATTAGGGGATTCATTATGTCCCCTTCCGGCCTCAAACATCTGTATAGTGAATATGTACCTTCCTTTTAGATTATAAAAGAGTAGTTCATAAAGTGGGGCCCCTGGGGGTTCCTGAGAGCTTTTGAGGAGGTCCACAGGCCGCACAGTGTCTTGATGGTAATGGCGACGTAACTACTGTTTTTACTCTTCTCTTGCACAAGAATGTGTTTGGTGGGGTTCTCCTCATTCTCCCCCTCTGAAAACCACTGGACTGCCTAACCTGGGATTTGAAACTTCCTTTTAATTCCTAGTATCATAAACACTGAGGGTTTTTAACTCTATCAGGAATTATTTAAGGTGCTCAAAAATTATTGTTGGTTTTTTGTTTTCTTTTGAGACAGGACTTGCTATGTAGTGCAGGTTGGCCTCAAACTCTCAGCAGTCCTCCTGCCTCAGCCTCCTGAGTGCTCAGATTACATGCCTAGCTAAAAAAATAAATTTTTTTTTAAGAGTACATAGAATCTCTGACACCAAAATGCTTGCATGATACTTGGCTCAAACAATGGGAACCCACCCTCTTGGACCTTTAGGACTCTGTTTGTGCAGGTGGCCAATCTCCAGCAACTGGATGTTTCAGATAGTGCCACCAATAACACTGGTGGCCATGCCCAGTTCAGGGGCTTATTTCCATATTATTATTTTCTTTCCTCCTTACCTCAAGTAGGATTTCAGATTAAGGAACGTAACAACTTTAGAAACTTACCCCACTCCTAACTGAATTACATTACATATATATCTTATTTTTAAAAATATATAACAGAAATGTGCCATTTTAGTTGTTAGTGTACAGTCCACTATATTAAGTACATTCACATGGTCATGCACCTCTGCCCATTATCTGTCTCCAGCACTTTCTCATCTTCCTAAACAGCCTCTGTCCCTATGAGGCACTGACTCCCAGTCCCTCCCAGGCCCAGCACCCACGAGTCTACTTCCTGTCTCTGGAGTCACCTGTCCGGGGTGTTTCCTGTCCACGGAGCCTGCACTGTGTGTCCTCTGCGCCTGGTGTCTCTCACTGAGCATGGTGACCTCAAGGTCCATACACAGTGCAGGGACTGTCACAGCCTCAATTCCTTTTTTTGGCCTAGTAATGTCCCAGCATTCAGATGGACCTTGCTATGTGCATCCTTCTGTCCAGCCATGGAAACCTGGCTGTATCCATCCACCTTTTAGTGCTTGTACATGTGGCTGGACACATTTTAGAACTTTTTTCTTTTTCCTTTTATCTTTTTAGTACTTGGGATGGAACCCAGGGCTTCGGCACTGAGTACCTTCCCAGCCCCCGCCCCTTTTAATCTTTTATTTTGAGTCAGGGTCTAGCTAAATTACTAAATTGCCTAGAATGAACTCAAATTTGTGATCCTCCTGCCTCAGCCTCCCAGAGTAGTGGGATTACAGGCATGCGCCACTATGCCTGGCTCATTTTGTGTTTTTTTGTTTGTTTGATTTTTTTGAGACAGGGTCTTTCCATGTAGTTCAGACTGGCCTTGAACTCATGGTGATCCTCCTGCCTTAGCTTCTGGAGTGCTGGGAATACAGGTGTGCGCCACCACGCCCGGCTCTGTCGTTTTGGAATTTTTATTTATTTATTTATTTTTTTGGTACCAGGGATCGAACTCAGGTCCTTGCACTTGCAAGGCAGGCAGCAGAATCACTGAGCTAAATCCCTGGCCCATTTTGGAACTTTTTGATATGAGTTGCTAACTTACTTCTCCAAATGGTGACTGTTCTTTCCCAAGGATGATTAGCTCTGTGCCTGTCATCTTCACTCAGCAGAGAAAAGGCTCTGTGTTTAGGTGTCAGTGTTTTCCCCAACCTCCCGGGGGGCTGTTACCTGCCACTCCAGGTCCATTTACTCTTTTGTAAAGCAAGAAATTGCTCTTCCTGCTGAGTGGAGACTAGTGGGTGTGGCAGTCACCTCTCTGCTGCCCTTGTGTCCTGCAGACCCCGTTCTACAGATGCAGCTCAGTGTCCGATGGTCTTGGGGCAGGGCCCCCCCCAGGGAGTGGTCTAGGAGTGCAGGAAGGACACGGCCAAGCAGGACAGGGATGAGTGTTCCGGTGCAGGCAAAGACCTGGCCTCAGGAGCAAGTGGGCACCCTGGCTGAGGACGAGGCAGGGAGGTGGGGTGCAGGTGGCAGGGAGCGGGGCTGTCCTTCCAGAGGGTAGGTCTGAGGTGGGAGGGAATGGCATGGGTGGAGGCTGGGGACAGAAGTAGAGCTGCAGGGCAGGGGCAGGGATGCCCTCCAGCCCTAGCCTCCCTGGGTCCCTACAGGCGGTCTGCAAGCAGTGGCGGAACTGCTGCAGGTGGACTATGAGATGCACAAGATGACCCGGGACCCCCTAAACCTTGCCCTGCGCCGCTACGCAGGCATGACCCTGACCAACCTCACCTTCGGAGACGTTGCCAACAAGGTGCCTGGGGGCAGAAGGGGGTGAGGGTTTGCACCGCCCCTGTTAGGGGCTCCAGGGACTGTCTGAGCTCCCTTCCACACCATCCCAACCTCAGAAAGGCCCTGAGAAGTAGGGACAGTCGTGCCTGTTTACATATGGGTAGAAGCCCAGAAAGGGAAGGTCTGTGCTGGACTTGCTTGGCCAGCCAATGTCCTCCGAGGACAGCTTTCGTGGCAGAGCAGGGAACCCTGGTGTGTATGTGTGTGTGTGTGTGCGCGCGCATGTGCATGTCCATGCCTCAGTTTCCTCTCCTGACTTCTGAGGTGACCCAGATGCCAGAAAGGCACAGGGCTCCAGGACTGGGAAGCCAGCATGTGGTTCTAGAAAGAGGAGGTGGTGTCTGCCTGTACGCCTGCCCCACATGCTGTGAGCGTGACTGTCCTGTGTCACTCCCAACAGGCCACCCTCTGTGCCCGCCGGGGCTGCATGGAGGCCATTGTGGCCCAGCTGGCATCTGAGAGCGAAGAGCTCCATCAGGTACGTGGGGCAGGGTGCAGACAGCTTTATACCTCTCTCAAGTGTCAGAGACCTCCCCAGGGCTGTACCCCACAGCCCAGGTCCCTTTGATTGTGGGAGTTGATGGGAGTGTGAGGGTGCCACCTCTGAGGGAGACGGCCTTGGGTTATTGGGTTCCACCTGCCATCTCCACAGAGCCTCCCCACTTAACCAAGACCACCCTAGCCCCCCCACGCCCATATTGCCCTGTCTGGCTCCACCCCTGACCTGCCCTTCCCCTTTGCCCATGGAAACCACACCACTGACCCCCCGCATCTCTCCCCACCTTCAACACGTTGTATCCCTCGCCCCCCAGGTGGTGTCCAGCATCCTGCGCAACCTGTCCTGGAGGGCAGACATCAACAGCAAGAAGGTGCTGAGGGAGGTCGGCAGTATGACGGCCCTGATGCAGTGTGTCCTGCGGGCCACCAAGGTGGGCACTGGGGAAGGCTGGGGACTGGGGGAACCTAGCACGCCCAGCACTGACCCCTGCCACTCTGTGCCCAGGAGTCTACCCTGAAGAGTGTGCTCAGCGCCTTGTGGAACCTGTCGGCACACAGCACAGAGAACAAAGCAGCCATCTGCCAGGTGGACGGAGCGCTCGGCTTCCTGGTGAGCACCCTGACCTACCGCTGCCAGGGCAACTCCCTGGCCGTCATCGAGAGTGGTGGCGGCATCCTGCGCAATGTGTCCAGCCTCATTGCCACACGTGAGGACTACAGGTCAGTCCTGGCCCTGGGCCCTGGGAGTATGGGGCTGGGGAGAGTGGGCCATGCTGCGAATTGTCTTCCAGGGAGTAGGTGACCTGATTGTCCCCAGGAACTAATTTTTCTTTTTTGGAGACGGGATCTCACTATGTAGCCCAAGCTGGCCTCAACTCCTGGTGATCCTCCTGCCTCAGCCTCCTCAGTGCTGGGATTATAGGCAGGTGCCACAATTTTCTAGTCTAAGTATACCCCAAATACTGCTGGAGCTATACTTATATTAAAATGCTCATTTATTAAATAAAAGATTACTATATGAAGCTAGGTGTGGTGACACAAGTCTGTCATCCTAGCATTCTGGGAGGCTAAAGCAGGAGGTTTGAAAGTTCCAGCCCAGCCTGAATTTAGAGACTTTCTCAAATTAAAAAGTAAAAAGGACAAGCACAAGGTCCTGCATTCGATTCCTATTCCCTCCTCCCCAAAAAGTAATATTTATTTATTGGTACCAGGGATTGAACTCAGGAGCTTGTGCTTGTGACGCAGGTGGTGGCACCACTGAGCTAAATCCCTGGTTCTTTACTTTTTTGCGGGGGGTACCAAGGATCGAACTCAGGACCTTGTGCTTGAGAGGCAGGTGGCAGCACCACTAAGCTAAATCCCCGACCTAATCCCCACAATTTCTTTTTTGGTACAGGGATCGAACTTGGGACCTTGCACTTGTGAAACAGGTGCCCAAACCACTGAGCTAAATCCCCGGCCCCTATCCCCACAATTTTGAGACCAGCCAGTGCTGCACAGTGAGTTCAAGGCCAGCTTGAACTACTTAGGTAGACCCTGTCTCAAAAAAAAAAAAAAAAAAAAAAAGTTAAGAGCCAGGGATTTAGCTCAGTGGTTCCTCTGCCTGCCTCACAAGCACAAGAACCCAAGTTCGATCCCTCGTACCAAAAAAATACATAAATAAATAAAATCTATTTTTTTATGGAAATAAAATTTATTTTGTTATATTAGTATATTCCAGATACTGCCCATGTTATATTTAAACTTAATTGTTAATCTAGTCAGGTGCATCTGTAACTCTAATACTTAGGAGGCTGAGGCAGGAGCATTACAAGTTCCAGCCCATTTTAAGCTACATAGGTAGTTCCAGGCCAGCCTGGACTACATGGTAAGATCATAGCTCAAAAAGAAAGAAAAATGAAAAAGGTTTATTAAAATAAAATGTATATGCCAGACGTGGTGGCACACGCCTGTAATCCCAGCACTTGGGAAGCTGAGGCAGGAGGATCGCTGTGAGTTCAAGACCAGCCTGGGCAACATAGTGAGTTCCAGGTCAGTCTCAACTATATAGTGAGACCCTGTCTCAAAAATAAATAAATAAAATAAAATGTATATAAAACATGATTAAATAGTATTCATGTAAATAACAAAGTACTTATTTTGTTAAATATTAATATCATTTGTGAAAATTTATTTTAGTATAGGATTTCTCTCATTGGATATATTTGTACTAAAATTAAGAAAAATACTAAATACTAAGTAATATATATTATATATAATAAAGTGTGTGTGTGTGTGTGTGTGTGTTGGTATTGGGGGATTGAACTCCTGTAATCCCAGCACTCTGAAGGCTGAAGCAGGAAGATCGCTATGAAGACCAGCCTGGGCTACATGGTGAGACCTTGTCTCAAAAAGAAAAAGAAAAAGGCAAAACAACAAAGCAAAACAAAAGAAAACAAAAACCTCAAAATAAAAAGCACTGGAGTGTTGCTAAGTAACAGCACATTTGTCTAGAATGTGTGAACCCTGGGTTCCGTTCCCAATATTGAAAAAAAGCCCTTTGTTGGGGGTTGGTTTGAGATGGATTCTCACTATACAGTTCAGGCTGGCCTTTTTTGTCTGCTTTTTCTTTTTTCTTTATTGGTACCTTTTAGGCGTACAGTACAGTTACATTCATCACTGAGATCTTGTACCTTTCCATGAAAGGTCTTGGTTCCTTATTTTTTCCCCTTACCCCTGCTCTCCCTTTACCCCCTCCAACTTCCCTATTTACAGAGACTTTGTTTCCAGCCTGGCCTTTAACTCACTATGTAGCCCAGGCTGGCCTCAAACTCAGTGATCCTCCTGCTTCCGCTTCCCAAGTGCTGGGATGACAGGTGTGCGCCACCATGCCTGACAGAAGGTCCTTATTTTAGCATATCTCATGAGCTTCGTGGCTTATATACCCTAAAAATGATTGCATTTTCTAAACTTGAAACTTGACTGGAGACTTTACGTGTTTATTTGTGAACTGAAGGCCCTGCTCTTGATGGCAAGGCCTTGGCATATAGCTGGGAGGGGCGTGGCAGTGGCCCGACAGGGAAGGTGTGGTCGGGGCGGGGCTTGACTGGGGAGGCTGTGGTCTAGGGCATGGTCGGGAGGGGCGGGGCTTGGTTGTTGGGGGTGTGGCCGAGGTTGACCGCTCCGCATTTCAGGCAGGTGCTGAGAGACCACAACTGCCTGCAGACCCTTCTGCAACACTTGACGTCGCACAGCCTGACCATCGTGAGCAACGCGTGTGGCACGCTCTGGAACCTGTCTGCACGCAGCCCTCGAGATCAGGAGCTGTTGTGGGACCTGGGGGCTGTGGGCATGCTGCGAAACCTGGTGCATTCCAAACACAAGATGATCGCCATGGGCAGCGCAGCTGCCCTACGCAACCTGCTGGCCCATCGGCCCACGAAGTACCAGGCAGCAGCTACGGCCATCTCTCCAGGCACCTGCGTGCCCAGCCTTTACGTGCGGAAGCAGCGGGCGCTGGAGGCTGAGCTAGATACCAGGCACCTGGCACAGGCACTGGGCCACCTGGAGAAGCAGGGCCTGCCCGAGGCTGAGGCCGAGGCCACCTCCAAGAAACCGCTGCCACCCCTGCGGCACCTGGATGGACTGGCCCAGGACTATGCCTCCGACTCCGGCTGCTTTGATGATGACGATGCACCATCGCTGGCTGCAGCCGCTGCCACCGCAGAGCCCGCCAGCCCAGCTGTGATGTCCTTGTTCCTGGGCAGCCCCTTCCTGCAGGGCCAGGCGCTGCCCCGCACCCAGCCTGCCCGTCACAGTGGCCTGGAGGCTGAGAAGGAGTCTGGGGGAGATGCTGCTGTGGCGACCAAGGCCAAAGCTAAGCTGGCACTGGCAGTTGCTCGCATTGACCGGCTAGTGGAGGACATCTCCGCTCTGCATACCTCATCTGATGACAGCTTCAGCCTCAGTTCTGGGGACCCTGGGCAGGAGGCACCCAGGGAGGGCCGTGCTCAGTCCTGCTCACCATGCCGGGGCTCTGAGGGTGCAAGGAGGGAAGCTGGCAGCCGGGCCCATCCACTGCTTCGTCTCAAAGCTGCACATGCCAGCCTCTCCAACGACAGTCTCAACAGCGGGAGCACCAGTGATGGCTACTGCCCACGGGAGCACATGCAGCCCTGCCCGCTAGCTGTGCTGGCGGAGCACCGCGAGGACCCACTGCGTGGGCAGGTGCGGCCGAGCCGGCTGGACCTTAACGTGCGCGGGGGCCAGGCCGAGCTGCCTGCACGTGACACTGCCGCTTCTGCTGATGCAGGCGTGCGCACCATCAAGCTGTCACCCACCTATCAGCACGTGCCACTGCTGGAGGGCGCAGCGGGGGCAGGGACACGGCTCCTCGCTGGGCCTGGGGCCTCACCTGGTGCCCGAAAGCAGGCGTGGATGCCTGTGGACACCCTCACCAAGGTACCTGAGAAGCTGGCAGGTGGCACCCCATTGCCTATGGTGAGCAAGGTCCTACAGAAGCTGGCTGTGCAGGATGGGCCGCTGTCCCTCTCCCGCTGCAGCTCTCTGTCCTCACTGTCCTCTGCTGGCCATCCTGGCCCCAGCGATGGTGGTAACCTGGATGACAGTGACTCTTCCTTGGAGGGACTGGAGGAGGCTGGCCCTGGGGAGGCAGAACTGGATGGGGGTTGGCAGGGGTCTGGGTCTACCTCATTGCCAGTGGCCATCCCTGCACCCCGCCGGGGCCGTGGGCGGGGTCTGGGGGTGGAGGATGCCACTCCGTCCAGCTCATCGGAGAACTGTGTGCAGGAGACGCCCCTGGTTCTGAGTCGCTGCAGCTCGGTGAGCTCACTGGGCAGCTTTGAGAGCCCCTCAATTGCCAGCTCCATCCCCAGCGACCCGTGCAGCGGGCTGGGCAGTGGCACTTAAAGGGCCAGCCGGAGACCAGCCAGTTCAGCCTGCAGTGGGAGAGCTATGTCAAGCGCTTCCTGGACATTGCTGACTGCCGGGAGCGCTGCCAGCCACCATCAGAGCTGGACGCGGGCAGCGTGCGCTTCACTGTGGAGAAGCCAGACGAGAACTTCTCCTGCGCCTCCAGCCTCAGTGCGCTGGCTCTGCATGAGCTATATAGGGCCAGCCGGAGACCAGCCAGTTCAGCCTGCAGTGGGAGAGCTATGTCAAGCGCTTCCTGGACATTGCTGACTGCCGGGAGCGCTGCCAGCCACCATCAGAGCTGGACGCGGGCAGCGTGCGCTTCACTGTGGAGAAGCCAGACGAGAACTTCTCCTGCGCCTCCAGCCTCAGTGCGCTGGCTCTGCATGAGCTATATGTGCAGCAGGATGTAGAGCTTCGGCTGAGGCCACCTGCTTGCCCAGAGCGAGAGGAAGGTCCTGGTGGAGCACACCGGCGGCGGGAGGAGGCTGGTGGCCGCCTGGAGGGACCTGCACCATCAGGCCCTCGCAACCGCTCGGCCACTGACCAGGAGCTGAAGCTGCTGCGAGAGTGTCTGGGGTTTTTTCACCGGCGGCGGGAGGAGGCTGGTGGCCGCCTGGAGGGACCTGCACCATCAGGCCCTCGCAACCGCTCGGCCACTGACCAGGAGCTGAAGCTGCTGCGAGAGTGTCTGGGGGCTGCCATGCCAGCCCGACTCCGCAAAGTGGCCTCAGCACTGGTGTCGGGTCGCCGTGCCCTGCCGGTACCAGTCTACATGCTGGTCCCTGCCCCAGCCCGGGATGATGACTCTGGCACTGACTCTGCTGAGGGCACACCGGTCAACTTCTCCAGTGCCGCCTCACTCAGTGATGAGACGCTGCAAGGACCCCCCAGGGACCCGCCCCGTGCCTCAGCAGAGAGACAGAAGCCCACAGGACGCCCAACTCCCTCCAGGCAGGCCTCAGGGCACTGGCCCAAGGCAGGGGGCGCTGGAAAGAGCTCAGAACAGACCCCCTGGGGGGCTGGCAGGAGCAGGGTCGGACTGGAACTGCCACTCAGCCGGCCTCCAAGCACGCGCTCCGACAGGGAGGGCTCTCGCCTGGGACGTGCACGCAGTGATGGAGGTCTGCAGTCCCTGTGCCTCACCACGCCCACCGAGGAGGCCGTGTACTGTTTCTATGACTCAGAGGAAGAGCTGCTGGCTGCTAAGGCACCACCCCCACGGCGGGCATCTGCAATACCTCGGGCCCAGAAGCGGGAACGAACCACAGGCCGGAAGGAGACCCAGGGTCCCTCTAAGGCTGCACCAGCTGCCCGGGCCCAGCCGAGGCTGATTGCGGATGAGACTCCGCCTTGTTATTCTCTGAGCTCCTCAGCCAGCTCCCTCAGTGAGCCCGAGCCCTCTGAGCGGCCAGCCGGCCATACTCGAGGCCGTGAGCCAGCAGTCACCAAGGATCCAGGCCCTGAGAGCCAACAAGAAAGCTCCCCAAGCCCACGCACTGAGGAAGAGCTGTTGCGGCGGTGTATTGGCTCAGCCATGCCCAGGCGCCGGCCCCAGGCCTTGGGCTCAAGGCGTCATAAGCCCCGAGTTGTCCGGCCAGACCCCAGGCCAAAGGAGGAGCCCCAAGAGTGTGCCGAGCAGGTGGCAGGCTCTGACCCGGCCTCTGACCTGGACAGTGTGGAGTGGCAGGCCATCCAGGAGGGTGCCAACTCCATCGTCACGTGGCTGCACCAAGCAGCAGCTACAGCCACCCTGGAGGCCTCATCCGAGTCTGACTCCCTCCTGTCCTTGGTGTCTGGGCTGTCCATGGGTTCTATGCTACAATCCTCCAAGCAAAGGAAAGGGCGACAGCCAGGGGCAGGGGCTGAGGCAGGAAGCGCTCATCGGTCAGAGAAGCGGGCTCCAGCTCCATCCAAGAGCAGTGGGAGCCCCCGGTTACCTGGAGGGCCAGAGAAGCCTCGGGGCGCACAGAAGACTGCATCTGGGGAACCTGCTGTGCTCCGAGGACGCACAGTGATTTATGTACCTAGTCCCACTCCGCGGACCCAGCACAAAGGCACCCCAGCTCCCCGCCCCACACCGAAGAAGATGGGGGCTCCTGGGCCCCCACAGCTGGAAGCCCCAGCCAAAACCCCCAGCCCTGGGCAACAGAGATCGCGGAGCCTGCACCGACCAGGCAAGATCTCAGAGCTGGCCGCTCTGAACCACACCCCGAGGAGTGCCACACCGCCGGCCCGCCTTGCCAAGACCCCATCCTCCAGCTCCTCCCAGACCTCACCTGCCTCCCAGCCCCTGCCCAGGAAGTCCCCTCTAGCCACGCCGGCTGCAGGGCCCTTGCCTGGCCCTGGAAATTCCCCTGTGCCCAAGACGCCAGCTCGGGCCCTTCTGGCCAAGCAGCACAAGACACAGAAGTCACCAGTGCGCATCCCATTCATGCAGAGACCCGCCAGGCGGGGGCCACCGCCCCTGGCCGCCCGGGGAGCCCCAGAATCGGCCCCCAG